ATACACCTTCACAACAGTACTCACCACTATCTCTCTCCTACATGTATATATACACCTTCACAACAGTACTCACCACTATCTCTCCTACATGTATATATACACCTTCACAACAGTACTCACCACTCACCACTCTCTCCTACATGTATATATACACCTTCACAACAGTGCTCACCACTGTCTCTCCTGTATATACACCTGTATATATACATCTCCTGCTTCACAACAGTACTCACCACTGTCTCTCCTACATGTATATATACACCTTCACAACAGTACTCACCACTATCTCTCTCCTACATGTATATATACACCTTCACAACAGTACTCACCACTATCTCTCCCTACATGTATATATACACCTTCTCACAACACCTTCACAACTCTCACCACTGTCTCTCCTACATGTATATATACACCTTCACAACAGTGCTCACCACTATCTCTCCTACATGTATATATACACCTTCACAACAGTACTCACCACTCATCTCTCCTACATGTATATATACACCTTCACAACAGTGCTCACCACTGTCTCTCCTACATGTATATATACACCTTCACAACAGTACTCACCACTATCTCTCCTACATGTATATATACACCTTCACAACAGTACTCACCACTATCTCTCCTACATGTATATATACACCTTCACAACAGTGCTCACCACTGTCTCTCCTACATGTATATATACACCTTCACAACAGTACTCACCACTATCTCTCCTACATGTATATATACACCTTCACAACAGTACTCACCACTATCTCTCCTACATGTATATATACACCTTCACAACAGTACTCACCGCTGTCTCTCCTGCATGTATATACAGTCAACTCTCGTTAATCCGACACTTGTGGTTGCAGAGAAATATGTCGGATTAACGAAAATGTCGGATTAATGAAAATGTCGGATTAATGTATTTGCGTGAAAATATCAATGTTTACTAAATGTCATGCATATCAGAAAATGGTAGATCTAGTTATCTTCATCGTATGTAAAAATATTCACAGAAATAAAAATACTAACAATACATACTTGTTTTCATTTATTAACATTCATAGATGGCATAACATACATATATAATCACATAAGCGAACAGTTTCATATCTATTTCATAACCACATTTGCACAAAACTCACGTTTGTTTTTACCGCATATCAGCTGCCATTATGACCCGGATGTTGAATATGTTACGGTTTCCATACAACTAATTCCATAATAACATGTCTAATGTACAATCAGGCGTGTATCATAACATATATAATTTATAACTTGAAAAGTCTTTGATGGTCATTAACATCAAACACGCCTAAGTGGTGTGTCAGAAATGTTTGCAAAGTGTTCAACGATGTTTTGGCCTCAGATAGCTTGAAGCATTGGAATCAGTCGTAGAGGCGGCTCAACCACTAAGCAGACTGCTTCAGGATGTCAGATACGGTTGATCGTCCAATCTTCACATCAAACTTCTTCTCAGCAAAAGTGATGACTTCTTGTTGTGTTGTCTGGGGTTTGTCTTTCTTCAAAAGGAGATTTCTTTCTTGATCAATGGCGTAACTTCTACAAGGGGTCGCTTAGCAGGTGGTGTACTTTCGTGACAAACATCTTGTGATGAAAACTCATGTCGGTTGTAAACATTTTATACAGCTCGCTCTACTGTTATTTCTTGATTAAATCGTCTCAATTAATTATCCTGTGTTCCTAATTAACAAGTGTGATGTTCACTGACGCCGGTGTCAAGCAGCCAGTAAGGCACACGCTAATTACCACTCACGTGTGATTGTTTGTATACGGTCGGATCATCCGACCTGCTGTGTTGATTGTCGGATTAACGAATGTTTTTACAATGTATTTACAATAATAAGCTGCTAGATTGGTGTGTCGGAGTCGGAATGCGAGAATGTCGGATTAACGAGAGTAATTATCACTGTTTTAAATGGTTCCCTAATTTTTTGTCGGATTAAAGTGATTGTCTGATTAACGAGTGTCGGATTAACGAGAGCTGACTGTATACACCTTCACAACAGTAGAAATCTATCGGCAAAAACGCTAATATCGTAGCAGATTATAAAGCATGTATGTAAATTACAGTATGTCATTGTCATAGATATTTTGTAAAATTAAACCTCACACAATGATATAAGAGAACGAATTTGTTTATGTATGTTTCATCTCTTACATACACAGAATGCATACATATGTTGATAAAATATAAATGTACAAGCCGCCAAAGGTCTACAAGAGAAACTTGCAATAAAATTACATAAACGTTGCCATACATGATATGTATTCACACCTGCTATCTTTCAACATATATCTTTACGACACAATTAAATAATCAGAGCTTGTTTGTACGACTAGACAGTTTCCTGTCATCCCCGAAACCTGCCAGGGAAATCAGGTGTGAATAGCACTAATTAGCTCGCAACAGCAAGCCGGGCAATCAGCGAGGGGTTCCAGGTGTTGAGTAGTGAAGTGTCTCTAGGGCTTAATGAGTTAAGGCATAGCTCTAACCAGGAAATATTTTTTCTAGTTTCAGTAAGTTTTACAAGAAAATGGTTTTTCTCTGGTCTTTTGTTGTTATTATTAGATGGTTTGTGTTTAGAAACTGTGTGAAGTTCCTCCAAAGTTGGAGCGGCAGCATAGACACAGCAATTTACTTCATGTAACGAACAGCCCGCAGAAAGTTTTAGAGAAATAGTTTCATTAAATAAATCAATTTCTTTTTTGGCAAAAGACATGTTTAGTTGTTTAATTGGCCTCCGTTTCTCAAAAGGTAAATCACAAATTTCCTCATAAATAGAATTGAACCAAATGGAAACAGGATTTTCGGAAAAATCTGCAGCTGAGGAAGAAGAAGAGTTTGGGTCAGAAATTACGGGGCCAATTGGCTCTATTCCTGAACAGTTACCATCAGCAACAGGAAAGAGGTTGATATGGATGTCCATCAGAAGTTGTGTGTCTGCTAAATGTCATATTTATTGTAGCTGGACAATCACATGTCAACAAACTGGCATGCTTAGTTCACCTCATTCCATACGCGTACAACTTCGGGATTACCATGTTCGTGAGGGTCCACTTTTCGCTCCAACTGCGATAGCACCAATTTCACATTATTCCCAACAATCACGAACTGATTACAGCCTTGTCATCCTTGGACCACTAGTTTACAGTAACATCGGCAAAAACGTGTGTGAAATGGTATGCTTATTTCACCTCAATCCATCTGTGTAAAACTTCCTCTTACCATGTCTGTGAAAGTCTGTATAACCTTAGTGATGATCATACTTATTTTACATTTATAGAACAAAAATTGTAATTAAAATTACACAATGCTAGGATATATTTCACTTGGTAAAATAATAGATAAGATATTATATTTTACCGATCACTGCATCAGAATTCATCCTGTTATATTGTTGGGTATTTTTTAACTAAATCACTTGTAGATCGCCGGAATGTGTGCACAGCTGATTGCTATTTCCGGCTCTATATACGAGACAAATACACACATGTAATCTTAATCCCTGCATATAATGCAATGCCTAGCAAAGACAAATTTGAACTGAAACAGTAAATAATCTTGTCTAGTGGTGTTTAATTGCAAATTTTACATCTTCACTGACAAAGTCATTTTCTCTTGTTCATTCATGCGAAGCTATATGATGTTGTTTTATTATCTAATGGAGGGTGTTATCGGTGCAGTAAAGCAATGTGATAAACTTGGTATCCAAATCTGATAACTGCAAATTACGTCAATCCATGAACTACTTTCTCAAAACTCCATACATGCCGTGCGAATCCTAAAACATTAACATTTCATTGATGACGTCATCGCGAGTTTACGTTGTGTCGATGAGTTTGTAAACAAACATGGCTGCCCCCATTATCAAAATTGATGATTCTGTAAGAATTGATGACAGAGGTTCTGGAGTCGTTACTGCAGTAATTGACTTAGGAAAACATGAAACGGAGAAGTTCGTTTAAATTGAAGGTACGGATTATGAGGCACGAGTGACAGGCTATCATCTAAGAAAGGTACCAACCAAGGATTTCGATCTATCAATCACAACAAAGAAGACGACGAATCGATTCCTTCAGGCTGCAGAAACTGATACTGATGAGGTGATTACCCGCGAATGAAAATAGAAACACTACCAAGAAAACCCTGCCTGATTTTATTGTTCGTTTTAGGCAGAAAGATCTTATTTTAGGCATGAGTTATGTTTGCGACTAGTCACAACCATATGCAGCCATCATGAATGACCTTCACCTTGGTGTACCGCTAAGTATTCTTACGCGAATGCTCGATTCTCTTCATTTATAAATTTACGTACGTACTATTTTAGAGTAATTTTAAGAATGACATTCTATGATAAAGAGATTATTAACCTCGTGTGTTTCTGTATCATTAAACTATGTTCCAACTATTTCGCTTACCCCCTTGTAATACAAAAGCAATAATAGCGATTTGAAACTATGATCGTTTGTTAAGCAACTTTTATCCTAAGTTGAATAAAATTCTCAGATTTAAATATTCATTTTAATATTTCTCAAGAACCATTCTCTGCATTTTCTTCATATTTGACACAAGTTTCATCTTGGGAAGGCGCAGGTCCCAGTCGATTTTGGGGACCTTCACATAATTTTCAAGATCACAGTAACTCTTTGAAGTTTTCAGCATGTTAACCTGCATGTTAAGCTTGTCAGCAAGACATCTCACAAACGATTCACTGTATTTTCTTCATGTTTGACAGAAAGCATCATCTTGGGAAGGTGCAGGTTGACTGGTCGTGCTTTTGTTGACATTTAACTACATCTTAAACTACAACCTTCACTTTCATTACTTTATAAGTTTGATTTGATAATTTGCAGCAGGGGATTATGTCACCTAAGTGACAAAGCTTGTTCACTCTTGTTTACAGGTCACAGAAGGAATTACATCTAGAAACTTAAAATGATGTACAATGAACATTTTATGAATGTTTTTGTAGATTGCAGATGTTCAGAAAGACCTTGACTACAAACAACAGGAAGAGGACTCTCGCAAGAGAAAGTAAGATAATAACTTTGATAACTTTACTTGACACTTTATTTGATTATTTTGATTGCATGGCTACTACTGACTGGTGACAATCTGATTTTGGGAATGTCAGAAAAACATTCTAGTTGGAAATATTTTACATCAAAAGCAATGCTTCCAAGTCCTCTTGAGGTCTTTATCAACAATATTACGTAGTGCATTCTACAGAATCCTAACACTACTGCCTAAAAGTTCATTCCCCTTACACGCGTGTGCGTTGCGTTGTGGTCACTAATGTGGAACCCGTTGACCACGCGTGTGAGACCTGTGTGACACGCGTTGCACCCGTGACACACGCATTTCGGAGGGAACAAACTTTTGACCAAAAGAATACCCATCTTAACCTAAAATTGGAGGTCGTGACAGAGAGATCAATTTCTCAATTATATGATGAAGTCTCTTTTATTATGTAGGAAAATAAGAGCAGTGTGATCAGTCAGACCCATCTTCCATATATGGCATTTTGTGGTGTTTTGATATGATGTTCTTGTCACTGAAAGGTTTGTGTAAATTCATGTTAAACGCATGACTTTCAGTGAGTTTATGCATGAGGTTTATGGGTGTATTGTTTCCATTGGATCCTTATTACTTTATGATGGCTTCGGTCATATTGTGTCGGCTCCATGGCCATGACACTGGGAAGAGCAGCATTTAATTAACTCTTTAACTCATTAAGGCCGAGAGACACATATATGGGGCACAATAATCAGTTCCTCACAGCGAGTGACGTGTTTATGGGGTAGGTAATTAGCAGTTTCTCAGAGCGAGAGCCACATATATTTGTCAACATAAAGCACCTCTTATTCAGCGAGAGATGCAAATGTGTGTCATACTTTTAAAATCGCACTGTACCTATTATTTCAACCAATTCAGTATGACTGAGCAAATATTAGCTTTTCTTACGAGAGATGCAACCTTTAGTGTCAATCAGAAGAAGTATTTAAAGTGTTTTGATAACAATTGCTAATCATTATCATACGCTTATACAGCGTTTGGCAAAAGAACACATGTCGGCGAGAAAGGGGATTATGATGTTTTTACAGAGGTAAGTGACTGGTACTCTTCATTAGGAATGGATACTAAAATACTTCGTATGCACATTGATTGAATTAGATGTAATGGTTTAGAGGTTACTGAAGATTATATTTTCTTCAACTTCCTAATAAATAGTAAACAATATATGAAATTTCAAGGACATACAAAGAATTCAAACACAATAGAAAAGTTTGAATTTACTTTTTAGGTATTATTACGTTGTCATGTTTCATATACTGAAACATTATGTATAAACACAAATAATTATACATCCAAGCTCGAATAGATTAGGCATAATTTAATTTACAAATTTAAAGCTTACTGAATTGTAACTAGTTATTTTCCATAATCTAAAGTTGATAATGTTACCTAATTGAATATAAAGTGATAAATCGTGCCTTTGCATTGAATATATATACATGTCAGTGTTATTACAACAATGAAATATTTTACTACGTTTGTTGCAAAACACAGTAAGTTGGTAATTCAAAAAATTCTCACACCTAAACAGAAGTAATATCATAAGTTATTACATGTAAACCATACAAAGGTATTTCAAGCATTTTTGTTCAAGCTGTTGAAAGTTTCATGTTGATTTGAATTGTCAGTTTTCTACGCAATTTACATGAGCATTGTGTAAAACATTTGCACTTGATCTCTGTAATTATCAAATCCGGTGTAATTATCACGTGTATCAATGAACTCAGTCTCTATTGATCCATCTTCAATAAAAGCTGGATAGTATATCAGTTACGGTATCGATACACATGCGTATAATCATTCAATCAGATTACAGTAATGAGATAATTGAACACCTCTTTCGACCTTGAAATAACAGCCTCCGGTAGAATGCATATGTAGTTACGTCCTTGTTGAAAGGTTTGTCCCGTGACAAGTGTAAAATAAACAGATGAGCTGTTATATCATTGGACAACTTGCTTTATAAAGTCACGCCCCTCTCTGTAATGTTTATGCATGTATGCACATCTGTAATCTTATGAACCTCGTTTGCATTCAGTATAAATATAGGCACGCCCACCTTCATAAATATTGGGTGGGGGGGTTGAACTGCAAGTTTATACACTATAATAATTCAGTATAGTGTCACTTCGTGAATTCTGTAATATGTGTACTTTAGTTTGGATATTCATTCGTATCAAGGTGAAGATTATATTTACATGTACAGCAAACCATTATGTTTTATGTACTAGTTGTGTGCGTAAAATGTATATGAAAATAAATACTATCTCTACTCAATGGTTGGATTTCAATCGCTTTGTTATACTTATCGAAAAACACTAAAATGTGTTTTCGATATCTGAGGACAAATAAACTCGCCAAAGTGTCATCTACTCATATTTGTCTTACTTGTATATTACATACATCGTTACCAGTGTGTATGTTTACAACACACAAACTGTTACATGATAGCTTGAGTTGATAAAGCCGAAACCCAGCATCAACGATATAGCCAAGCTGTTAAGTGACCAAACGTGCTTTTCAGAAATTTCGCCCACGCCCCATCACCTGTCCTTTCCGCTGTGACAGGTATCTCATGATATGATTGGTCACAGATAACATATGACCAGCCACTATATTGAAACAGTTGAGATACCGAACGTTCTATTCGGGGAATTTGATGACGCCCTATCACGTGACTCTTTCTTTTATGTCTATGCAAGGAATATGTAGTATACATTTTTATATGTATGTTTGTATGGTCACGTATGTTTTCTGCATTAAATCTAGATGAAACAAAGTGCCAAGCTATATCAATGTGCTCTATGTTAGTCACAGACTAGCGTAATAGTACTTTCATTAAAATAATTCGTATACACTAGAAATGCATCGGCAAAAACGCTTATTTTCATCGAAGATTATTAAGTATGTAAGTAAATTCTTCGTACAGTATGTCATTGTCATAGATGTTTTGTAAGATTAAACCTCATACAATGATATGAGAGAGAGAATTTGTTTATGTGCGTCTCATCTCTTACATACAAAGAATACATGCATATTGTGATAAAATATTAATGTACAAGCTGCCAAAGGTCTACAAGAGAAACTTGCAATCAAATTACATAAAACTTTGCAATACACGATATATATTCACACCTGCTTTCCTGCAACATATATTTGATAATTGCACGGGGTAGACACCATTACACGTGAGCATGGAGTCGTGTGTAAGGCAGCCATGGCATAATGACTGCAAGTTGAGGGGAAAATTGAGCATTGACTCTGGAAGTTAAAACGGAGCAGAAGTGTTGTTTTCGCTGGTCTGTTGAATACACTGCCAATGCCACTGTCAATATAATGCCAAAACATTATTTGGGCATTTACAATTTGTACATTTTCAATTTACATAAATAATTTGAAGGCAAGAATAGTGTTTAGATAATTTGTCATTTGTGTGACGCTTACAAGCAAAAACCGTAACTCGTGGTATCATGTGAGTCAGTGAGTGAGTGAAAATTTAAAGTCACATCACAGTATTTCAGCCATAACGTGACTATGAAAATTGTATATTTGTAAACACATGTGTATATACATGAAAAAGAAACAAACTTATATACTTACCTGTCTGTGAAGGACAGTAAAATAACTAGTCTGTCACAGATGTACACTTAAAACTAGCATAAAACACAACATGGTAACATGTAAATATAAAACATCTCATAAAAAAACGTAGTAAGTGAGATTGTAAATAATATTGTAATCGCTTTAAAATACACTGATAGCAAGACATATTGATCCTAAAGCTATAGTGCGTTTGGCTCAAAAGCAGACCGATGAATTGCAATCTAACTCAAAAACTAATAAACATATAATACTCAATGAAACGCTGATCATAATCAAAATATCAGACCAACTCTGTGATTTGTTTGCAGAATTTATGTCCTAAAATTAAAAAAGTTGTTTAACAAACTATCATTAAAATATTGACACAGTTCACTATTTGTTACGAGGGAGGAGTGCAGAGTAAGGGACAGCCAGGTGTTAGAGAAGCATGTGCACAAGTGCCGACAAAGTTAGGATGGAGACGGCACAGCACAGGTTAATGAATCAATAACTTTGTCGGCACTTGTGCACATGCTTCTCTAACACCTGGCTGTCCTTTACTCTGCACTCCTCCCTCGTTACAAATAGTGAACTGTGTCAATATTTTAATAATAGTTTGTTAAACAACTTTTTTATTTTTAGGACATAAATTCTGCAAACACCTCTCAGAGTTGATCTGACGTTTTCATTATGATCAGTGTTTCATTGAGTATTTTATGTTTATAAGTTTTCAAGTTAGATTGCAATTCATTGGTCCGCTTTTGAGCCAAACGGACTATACTGTCCCACGAGTCCCTCAGAACCAGCATGAAAACTGATTTAATTATCAGAATTTTGCCCGGACATAACATCCTCTTAATATGACTGGGTATGGAATTGTTAGGATTCTCCGCGCGAACGAATAAAAACATCTGAGACAAACGTTGTATATTTCACACCATCAAGTCGCTATCGCTTCATTTTATCGAGACCTATCCCCTGAAAAAAACACACACACTGAAGATTTTATTAGAAACATTCGCCACGAGCAGCAGTTTTACACATACGGAGCTATGACTATGACTGAACCGACTGACAAAAGTGAATGTACATCTCACACTTTGTGATATAAAAAACAATTAACCTGATGATGTCTACAATATCGCAAATTCGATTTTACAGGATAAGATACGTTAATTGATATTGTTAGATCGCTGTTGCTGGCAAATAAATAGTGAAGCATACGACTTTATGAGTGACAACTTCTTATTTATTGCATAGACCTTAATTGCCTTATGGCCAGGAAAAGAGATCAAGGGGTCTGACCTCGGGGTATTCTCGTGACGTGCACACACTGTGTCGTGTAAAAACAAAGTCCAGAAAACAATGTCCACTTC